AGCCATTGTTTTGACATGGTGTAATCTGCGACAGGGATCTTATCCTTTTAGTCCTTTTGCTATGCCTTCTCCAAATGGTATTGCGGAGGCTTCTGTAAGCAGTTTACCATAATTTGTCTTATTATATATATATATATTTTTTTGACGAAATGAAATGTCTTTATGTCCATGCTTCCAAATGATTGACTCTAGATATTTTTAGGGAAATACTCCTGGAAGCACAGAAATTGACGGTAAGCCTCCTGAAGTGAAGGAAAAGTTGCCTATAAAAGATCAAAAGGGAGTTTAGGCAGTTTGAACATGATTACCGGAAAGAACAGTAATCTTGGTAAAACATCAGGAGCTTCTGCTAATGGAGGTTCTAAAAGGTATGGCAGAAAAGAAATGATCTTGCAGTTATTGCATAGATTTTGGTCATTAGTGTGTGTTGTTGTTAGTTACAAGGACTATATCTCATGTCAATTATTGGGGGAGGGGGTATTCTTGACCTTCATATGTAGTCTCATGGAGAAATTTTAATATGACTGAGTAATACAGAAAAGAGGCCATCAAACACAGCAGTTGCAATTGGGTTTCATTGAGAAATCAATAAAGTCCTTTATTGAAGAAGCTTGGGGAGTAGATCTCCTATGTTTCTCCCTTTATTTCTGGTATGCTAAGTGTTAAGAAGCTTTGAGAAGTGTTTTGTCATGGTCCTTGTTATCATACAAGGCTTGAATCAACTATTCAATATCTGGTTTCTCTAATACATTAATTCATCTGAGCATACATTATTTGCTTGTACTTGCTACCAAAATTATTGCCGTAGGTAATTTGGCTGACAGTTGAATATTTACCATGCATGTCTAGTGCTGACAGTGGAAGTGAAGGTACAAGCGAAGGCAGTGATGCAGACTCTCAGAATGTGAGTGCAAGGCCTCTTGCCTCTTTTTTGTTTATTATTTTGAATTGACCATCTTCATTTATTAGTTTATGATTTTAACCATGCTTGCTTATGTATTTTTTTCTGTCTTGGAGAGATTGAGAACCACCTGCCCAAACGTTAGGATTCCAGGGCAGGACTTAGCAATTTCATGAATTTTTGCCCCATCTCAACTAATATTTCAGTCTGGATATGAATACTTAGGTTTTGAAGTGGCTGCAAACACTGATGTTTCAGTTTATTTGACTTGGCTTGGATCACTATGTTGTTCTATTAAATAACAAATAGTTAACAGTGTTGATTGCCTGGGAATGGGACTAATCTCAAAATAAGTTGTTTTGGATGGAACTGCCTCCAGGGTCTTTTCTTTCTCTCTGGAAGTAGCAATACTCTTGTAGCTCCTCAATTATGTTGTTTATAGCTACTAGGAGTTAGCCTGCCAACCGATCGGATAAATTTTCTTTTATCTAATACTTGGGAACAAAGTTTAATGGGCCTTCTGTATGTCCTGGAAAAGCATTGTGGAGTGGGGTTATTGAAGAAAGGTAAAGCTGTCTCCAATAATCATCTCTATTACAACTCCCCATGTGTTGCAGCTTCTCTTGGAACTCTTCCAATGATGAGAAAACTTTAAATATTTCATTTTTATTCAAATTCAGGCATTCACCTATTTCGTCTTGTTATCATTTTTTCCCAGGTCAATTTTATGCAATAAAATGTTATTTTCTTTTTTAGGAATCACAATTGAAGTCTGGAGGTGGAAAAGATTCTGGAGAAGGTTAGATGGTGATAATATCATGATTTTTTTGCATTATATTATTGCCATTTGTGTATGTGCTCTGAGAATGTCTTGAATGGTTCTTATGTAGGTGAAGCATCTCAGAATGGAGGCTCTAATTCAGCCCATTCAATAGCGAATACAGCAATGGCCATTGTACCTATACCAACTCCTGGGGCAGCCACAGCTGTTCCTGGTCCAACAACTAATTTACATATTGGGATGGACTACTGGGGGACGCCAGCTTCATCTAATGTTCCTGCAATGCACGCGAAGGTTTCTTCGACCCCTATTGCAGGAGGAATTGTAACCCCTGCATCCCGGGACGGTGTTCAGCCTCAGCTTTGGTTACCGGTTCTCTCTCTGAACATACTCACATAGTGAAATTCAAGATCTCCTTTGAGTTGATATATTTTCTTTGGCTGTAGTACTGCTATGCTTTTGTCCATGAAATGTGAAATTTACACTAAATTTGCAGGATTTCAAATCAAGTTTTTTCTCCTCCAATGAACTGCTGCGTTCTTCCATTGCTTATATGCTTCTAAGAATGTGTTTTCCCATTGCTTTCCCTTTTGGTGTTGTATGTAATTGTCACTGTATGATTTATGGATATAGGATGAAAGGGAGCTTAAAAGACAGAGAAGGAAGCAATCAAACAGAGAGTCTGCTCGGCGGTCAAGGTTGCGTAAGCAGGTACTGAAGTATCCTTTAGAAATTGTAGATCCTATTATCTTCCATTAAAGGCCCAGATATGAGTTATATATCTAAATGCTTACTATTGAATCAGGCTGAATGCGATGAGCTGGCTCAACGTGCTGAAGCCTTGAAGGAAGAGAACACCAACCTTAGATCAGAAGTTAGTCGGCTCAAGAGCGAGTATGAGCAGCTTCATGCAGAGAATACCTCTCTCAAGGTCATATTTTCTTGCTTTGATTTACAAAATATTTGAACTTGTATGTAACCTATTTCCATAACTTTGCTTCCTAATATCAGTTGCATAATGGCAGGAGAGGCTAGGGGAAGTTCCGGGGCATGACGATCCGAAGTCCAGTAGGAATGACCAACTTAGAAATAATGATGATCAAACAGAGACTGTGCAGGCTAGTCGCTAGGTTTCATACACCCTGTTTTTCATGTCTCCAGGAGTAACAAAATTAGCTACAGAGTTTTTATTCTGCATGGCATGTCTAAATTTTATCAAAGCTGACCTTGGTAGCTTTTAGGATCCCTTTATCTCCCTAAAATCCTTCACCGGTGATTTGGCTTGGCTTTACAATCAAAGCAATAGGATTGTTGAATGTGTAACCCTGGGAAATCATGAACTCTGATTCATTAATACTTTGGTGGTGAATACAATATAATATTGTTTAAAGATAATTAAATCTATCTTAAAATAATATTTTTTATAATTTGGGGTGAATACAATATAATATTGTTTAAAGATAATTTTCAGTCATTTGATAATGAATACTTATACCCTCATGTACGATACTCGAACCTAAAATTTTAAAAATAACAACAAATCTTTTATAGATCACTTGATTTTTATGTGTTAATTTAAGATATTGCACAGCAAAATTGTCAAACTAAGAAGCAAGAGGTCATAGAACAACAGCGTGGCCAGTAGAACGGCGCCGCCAGCTTCGGTTTTCCCTTTACCTGCAGCACTGTATCCTCACCAAAATGACGACTCGAACTTTTCCCTATTTCTTTTATGGACCGTTATACCCACCAAATGCCAGCTGTTTTACCAAAACCTCTTTGTTTGACTCTCTATGGTTTACAAATTTCATTCAAACACCTATCTTCATATTATAATATTTCTTGAAGTTTTATTCTCATGTAATCAGTGGGTTTTTGGTTGGTCAAGTTCTAGAAACTGGGCAATAAATTAATTACTATGGTCTAGGTTGGTTTAAAATCAGAAGCACTGGCGGAACTTGACGAAAGAGTTGGATAGGTCAATTTAAAATTTATAAATTAGAGGTTTTTATTAAATTTTTTAAAAATTTTGAAGGGTTCAATTTACATATTTTTCAAAAAAAAAAATGGAATTTAACTAAAAATTTTGAAATTTTGAGAAGTTTAATGAGAACTTTTAAAAATTAGGGGAGAGGTTTAATTCATAACATTAAAAATTTTTAAAGTTTAATTTAATTTTTTTTTTTAAAATTCTGAGAAGTTAAGCTTTTTGAAAATTTTAAATGTTTAAATTATAATTTTTCAAAAATTTTAGGGGTCATACTCATAGCCTCCACATGCCCTATTACGTTTCACCATTTATCAGAAACCAACCTAAGATATTATATTAGAGAATAAACTTACAAAATTTTAAAAGGGACAAACTTATATAATTTTAAGAAAAATGAAAGTATATTATAAATAAAAAATACATTAAAAAATTCTAAAATACAAAAAAAAAAATCAGAAAGCGATTACCTCCACCCGTCCCTCTTGATCATCCCTGTTTGCAACTCTTTCCCAAACTATATTATAAATTGCATGTTTGCTATAGGGTCAGATAATTTACATTAACCATGTGATTACAAAATCCATCCTTTTATTTACTCCTTGCTTTTGCTGATTCTTCATATTTTTTTTCCAATTTTAACTTGAGGTAGATTCGCATAATTTAAGCTTTTTTATTTGAATTATTATCTTAATAATAAAGAATTCAATACACCGTCCTATTAACCAGCTAAAATTTAATATATTTAACAAACAATCTGGTTGTTCAGTGAGATCAACATATTCTTTAAGTAAAGTCAGGGTTCAAATCATGACGTTTGCAAATAGAATAAACTAAGTTGAGAATGTCGAATTTGTCTCTGCAATATCCAATCCGGATTAGCCGATTAATATGTCGGATTAAAATTCATATTATAATAATAATACACGTTTTCGAGATCCAAGGAATCAATAGGGAAAAAAACCAAACATATTCGTAGGGTGTAGCAAGAGAAAGGCAATGAGCAGTATAACACAGTTGTTTGTTTCTATATAGATTTGAAAAAAGGGTTAGGCCAAGAGTGATATATGTTTAGCATATATAATGCTGGGATTAAATAATAAGGGTAAACTACACATTTAGTACATAAACTATTAGTTTTGGTCTATTTTACTACTTAAACTTTCAACTTTTTTTCAAAATTATATCTAATGTTTAGTTTTTATTTCATTTTAGTACCATGTCATTGAAAACTTAACTTGATTAGTACCTAAACTATCATTTTTATATGTTTTAGTACCTAAGCTTTCATTTTTCAAAACTTAACGTTAAGTTTTGAACGTGGTACTAAAATGAAACAAAAACAGAAGGTTTTAATAGCGAGGTACTAAAATAAAATAGAAACAAAATTTTATGTAGGGGTGTTCAAAGTTCGGTCAAAACCGATTAAACGATCGAACCAAATTTGTACTTGGTTAATTAATCGGTTAATTTTAGGTTCGATCAGTTAACGGTTAATTTATTTTTTAAACTTCAATTATCGGTTAATTCTGTTTGAAATAGGTCGATTAACCCAATTAACCAAAATTATTAAAAATTTAATATATTATATATATTATTTAAATATTAGATTGCTTAAACTTTGATTTTAACTGAATTAGTTGAAATATAAAATTTAAAATATTTATAAATTTCAATCGATTAACTGAACTTTTTTCGGTTCGGTTAATTATTTTTAAAAACCAATGGTTTGGTTAACGGTTAAAGGAAAAAAAAATTGGTTAATAAAATTTTAGAGGTTCGGTTTGGCCATTTAACCGTATTGACCGATTGAATACCCTTAATTTTAGGTATGATCTTGAAAAAATTAAAAGTTTAAACGTCAAAACTGATAATCTAGGTACTAAAGACATAATTTACTCAAATAATAAATGGTGTACCCGCCTCTTTTGTTGCATTATAAATCTTTTTATTTATTTGCATGCATATTTTTATTCTTTGCGCCAACTCCACCGCATCATCTTAGTTGTCACTTTTCTCTTATCTTTCATTACAAGAAATCCTTGATAGGTTGATTGAAAGATTTAATACTGATATTAATTACAACGTTAATTTTGTATTAATTATCACAAATTTAATTAATTCTTCTCAAATACAGTTAGCATGCCCCTTGGCTTTTCTTATTTATTATAGTACCTTATCCGTTACGGCTAATAAAAAGAATTAGAGATCATAAATAAGGATTCCCAAAATTAACATAAAAATGTCTCTCAATATAGGGTAATATTTTATTAAGTCTTTCGACTATAAAAAGTTATAAAATGATAATTTGATTATAGAATGTTGCTTCGTTGAGTCCTTCGACTATCAAAAGTTATAAAATGGTCACCCGACTATTCATTATGTTCCAAGCTCCCCTTTTTCGTTGAAAAATTGATGGTTATCTAAGCTTGAAGTTAACAGGACAATTGAGATGTGATAGTCGTTTGAGATTATGTGATAAAGTTGTATCATATCACAATTAACAGATTAATAATTCAGTCAAAATATCGTCTAATTTTTAACAGAAAATGACGAGTTTAGAACATAATTAATAATCTGGTGACCATTTTCATAACTTTTAATAGTCGAGGTACTCAACAAAATAACTCTATATAATTATGGTATATTTTATAATTTTTAATAATCAATGAACTTATAAAATAATACCCTATAAACATGAGACCATTTATATACTATATCTTAAATTAAAATGACAGCATGTACTTAAATAAAATATATTTGATAATCTCGATGATGATCCCTTTCCAAGTTTTAATCAAATAACAAAAGCGAGCGTACATTGTGATATAAGTGCGATTGGGCGGTGTTGATTCTTAAATTTACTTTCTATTTAATTAATTGGGCAAAGTACACAAACGATCTCTCAACTATAGAATGTTACCTTTTTAAGTCATTAAACTATCAAAAGTTACAAAATAATCATCGATTATTTATATGTTCTAAACTCATCTTTTTCTGTTAAAAAATTAATGATCGCTTGAGTTTGATGTTAACTTTTTATTGAGATTTGATAAAATCTGTTTTTGAAACCGTTTAAATTGTATTTTATGAATCGAGTCTTCGTTTATATTATATCGTCAAGTCAGTCAATAGGTTTACATAATATAAAGGGAGACTCGAACCATAAAAATATAACTCAAATGGTTCTAAGATTATATTTTATCACATTACAACCATCGGATTAATATGCAGCTCAGACGACGTCAGACTTTTAACGGAAAATGACGGGTTTGAAATATATAAATATAAAATCCGACTAAACTAAGGGTATAATAGTCAGCACAATGAATAGAGAAGCCAAGTAGACCGTTCTCCTGTCGTCTCAATCCAAAAGAAACTCCCTTTCTTTATTTTCTGTTGGTGTGCGTATAAATATAGACACGTACACAGAAAGCAAAACGCTATGGTATATGAGTTTGAGAGAGACAACAAAGAAACGAAACAACAACTAATCAATCATATCACAAAACAAATAGAAATCATCAAGTTATGGCTCTCCTCCTCTTCTTCTGTTGTTGGTTCATCGCCGTCGCCGCCGCCGTTACTTTCAACGTCACACCCTCTCCTTCGACGAAGGATACAGCCCTCTCTTCGGCGACGGCAATCTCGTCCGCTCCCCCGACGGCCACACCGTCCGCCTCCTCCTCGACGTTTACACCGGTAATAATAATAATAATAATCAATTACTGTACATGAAATTTGATTTCTTTTTTGGGCGTCGATGAATGATCGATCCGGTGTTGATTAAATGCAGGGTCGGGTTTCATTTCGTCGAATATGTATAGCCATGGATTTTTCAGCGCCAAAATCAAATTGCCGTCGGACTATACCGCCGGAATAGTCGTTGCCTTCTATGTACGTTTTCTTTTTCCCCCTGTCGGATTTGAATTTGAATTAAATTTCAGATCAACAAACCCTTTTCATGGCGGCTGATGGTGGTGTTGAATTTTTCTTTTCCGTTTCTTTTTTTCCCGGCGGTTAATGCAGACGTCAAACGGTGACGTGTTCGAGAAAAGCCACGACGAATTGGACATCGAGTTTTTAGGAAATATTGAAGGGAAACCGTGGAGATTCCAGACAAATATGTATGGGAATGGGAGCACGAACCGAGGGCGAGAGGAACGCTATGGCCTTTGGTTTGATCCATCGAAAGAATTCCATAGATACAGCATTCTTTGGACAGCCAATAACATCATGTGAGTCGTCTTAATCCAAACCTTACGCTGATCCAAAATTATTTTTCGGGCTTTACACATATGTATTAATAGTTAGTGGCAGAGTCAAGGTTAGTTTGAAATTCGAGTTTTTTTATTAGTTATTTATTTTATCGATATAACTTCTCTTGAAAATTTTAGTATTCAATTCTGAATTCTGATTTTTTTATTAGTTATTTATTTTATCGATAGTGTCCACCCTAAAATTTTATTTATACTCATTTTATTTAAAAAGTTTTATACGGGTAAGTACTAATAAAATTTCAGGATAGACATCATAAATAAAATAAACGACAATATAAAAAAATTAATTTTAAAATAACCACATATATACTAAAATATACATGCATGATCACTTGTCTCCTGTTTAATTTTTAACGTAAAATTAACATACTGTCCTACACCCTATATACTGTGTCCTTGTTCCTGCATGTGTGTAAATATTCTTGCATTGGTAGTAAAGCCAAAAAGTGAGGGAGATATCAGCTTTTGCGTGTGGATCGGAACATTGCCTTAAAAATAACTATACTCGTATGAACTATGATTTTAGGCTGTTTTTTATGCTAATTATTAGGTTCTGAGTTTAAGATTTAACGTTTATTATTTTTCGTTATATTACTTCTTTTTATCTCTAATTTATTTAACTTTTGTATTAAAGTTTAGAATAAATTACATATTTAATCATCTATCTATTTCTGTGGTTTTATTTTGGTCATCTAATTTTTTTTGTCAAAATCATTTCTAATGTTATGTTTTGGTTATGCTTTGTTCACCTATCGTTGAAAAGTTATCACGTCAGTAGTTATGTTTATCTTTTAATGTCCGATGACAAACATAACTAAAACGTAACATTAAGAATGATTTAAGATAAAAACAATTGGGTGACCAAAATAGAATTGCAAAAATAAGTGGGTGGCTAACTACATAGTTTACCCTAAAATTTATTACGTGTATAAATTTAACCATTTTTTAATGTTATAATAATAGTAACATCAATCGAATTAAATTTAATCGATTGAAAATTATGGTTTTAGACAATAATAAAAATATTGAAAAGAAATTATACTTGAATAATCTATATTAGATAGGCTACCAAACTTAGATGCCTTTTAGATTCTTAAAAGCTAATCCCCAAATATAAATGCCATAATTCCACCTAACGAATCTTTATTCCCAACTTCTCAAGGATCTAACGGTGAATATTTTTCTATTTTTTTCTTCTAGTTTCTCCTACTTTTCTCTCTTTGATACGAGAAATTATTTTATGGTCCCTACTCATCACGTCATCTATGGTTCCAGTGAATCATATCCATTAATTTTAAAGTAATTTTAAGTAACTGTTCATTTTTTATTTATACATAAGAAATAGGTGAAGATTCACCTTGAAAAAAACGAGATGGAAAATTTTTAGGGTAAAGTACGCAAATGATCCCCTAACTATAGGATACTACTTCATCGAGTCACTTGGCTATTTAAAAGTTATAAAATGATTACTATACTATTCATTATGTTCCAAGCTCGTCCTTTTCTATTAATAAAGAAACGGTTGTCTGAGTTGGATGTTAACATGATGACTGAGATATGATGGTCGTTTGTGCTTATGAGATTAGATTTTATCACGTCTCAATCAGTAGGTTAATGTACAACTCATATTAGCGTCAAATTTTCAACGAAATGGAACATAATGAATAATCGGGTGATCATTTTGTAACTTTTAATAGCCAAGGGACTCGACAAAGCAACTCCCTGTAGTCGGAGGATCATTTTATAACTCTTAATAGTCGATGGACTTAATAAAGTAATATCTTATAGTGAGGGGACTATTTATGTACTTTACCCAAAATGTTATTGGTTAGAATCATCTAATAATTTTTCCTATGATATAATATACGGAAAATATGATATATTGATTTGGTGTTTGAATTTGTGAACAGTTTTTATGTAGATGAAGTTCCGATTAGGGAAGTGGTGCGTAATGATAAAATGGGTGGAGATTACCCATCAAAGCCGATGTCTTTATATGCCACTATTTGGGATGCCTCTAGCTGGGCCACCAACGGAGGTAAAAATAAAGTTAATTATGAGTATGCCCCATTCACCTCCGAGTTCAAAGACCTCGTCCTCGAAGGTTGCCCCACCGGACCTATCCAAAAGTTCCCCACCTGCACAGGGACGGATGCATGGCTCGAAAGCCGTGACTACGCCGTCATGACACCGAGAAGCAGATCCGCTATGCGAAGATTCAGACAGCGTTACATGTATTACTCGTATTGTTATGACACGGTTCGTTACCCCGTAACACCTCCTGAATGCGAAATCGATCCGATCGAAAAACAAAGGTTCCGAGACTCGGGAAGGTTGAGATTCGGCGGAAGTCATAGGAAGCAGATGAGGAATGCTCATCGGAAGAGAAGGTCACGGCCTACTTCCAATGTCTCCGCCGAACAAAACGATATGTGAAATTACTATATAGTTTGTAAATTAAAATTGTGTGTTTTTGGTCCTCAAAATCCTCTTATATTTATTTATTATGATATAAATAACCACACGATGATGAGTACAGAAAAAGACCCATATAGAATGTCGAAATAATGGAGTTTGGTATGTTTTTTCCTTTACCTACTATGGCTTGTATTTTAGTTGAATGATTCCCTTTACTTTATGAACCAAATTGCATGTGATGTAGTTGATTTCTTAGCCTTCTCTCTTAAAGTAGGTGCTGAGAATTCACTTATTGGTTAAAAATATTTGAAATATATGAAAAATGTATTGAAGGCAATTGACATTGTGCAAAAGCATGATGAAATTGCATCGAGTTTTTCTATTGTTGGCTTGTTGCTAAGGATGACGATGAAACAAAGAGGGGAAGTGTAATATAGGGTTTAATCCCAAAATTAGAGATTAAATTATTTTAAAATCACACAGGAAATTAGTTAAAAGGAATATATTATTTTATCAAGGTCAAAAAAAAGGAAAGTTAAAATCAAAGTGCCACATCATTTTTTTTAAAAGCAGTTAACTATGGTGACCATAATGAAAGTGAGTTAAAAGTTTGGTGATGGTATTACAAGTATTAAAAGTTTTAGGACCAAAATGTAAAACACCCTAAAAGTTCAAAGGACTGTTTGTATAGTTTATCCTTTTAGGCATTTCAAGTATCATATATATATATTTTTTATAACCATCGATATCCAATCTATTGATCAACTAATCCGAATTTAATATTTTCGAGTATCATATTTTTAATTTCAGGAGAAGATGTTTACTTGCGCTACGATATTTATATATAGTGACATACTTAATTTGCATTATCTTAAAGATAATGAAAATATTTCATTTATATTGAGTGAATGAGAAGGAAAACACATTGGATGGATCAAGACCACATTGTTTTATATATTGATTAATCTAGAAGCGAAAGTGACACCCAGCTTATCTTATACGTGTAATAATTAAGAATTTGACTTAGATAATCACTTATTATTATTATTATTAAAAAGACAATCAATTATTATGATGAAAATAATTTCAGTATCGTTACATCGATATTAATGTCCTACCTAACATAAACAAAACATCAATTTTTTAATAAGCACGCTTCGGATTTAAACAGTTTCAGTTCCGTTTGAGAGCATGAATTCACATCAACTGCTTTTAATCCATAGAAGTAAATCGTTAAACCAAGATAATTACCGACGGAGTTGGTTTAAGTAGTAATCAGCTTGACATCGCTTAAGCAAACCTCGACTTTCGAGTCCTTGTGTACCAAAAAAATATTCGCTGAAAGACTCATCCACCAAAATCAAGTGAATAACTCAGGTCGGTCCAGATTAACAAAAAAAATTAAGATAATTGAACTTTAAAACTAGTTTTGTTGTGATTGTTGAACATGGAAAGATATGAGTTATTTACTCATGTTCAACTGCATATTTAAGGCCCCATCTTCCTTCATGTTCAATACTTGCCTGCTTTTTGTCTGTTAAAACAGACATTAACTTCAATGTCCATAAATCTTATATATATATATGTGTGTATATGTATATAATCCTTATTTGAAGAGATTTGGGTTATAAAAGACGCTGTAAGCAACTAAATAAGCTTGCAATGTACAATGTATATGGTTGGATTTATCGTTTTGGCTAATTCGTTTAGGCATTGAGAATTTTGAAGTCTAGAGTGCTAACTACTACACAATAGAACCGATTCGATTTATAGGTTTATATGTTAACGATAAAATAAATGTGTCTGAATTTGCAAAAATAGAATTACTCGTCCTACGAATGAAAGTAAAATTTTGATGTTTGGGAATGAACTTGAACTCATAAAATTTCAAGAAGGGCGGAAACATATTTTTAATAGAAATACATAAAAAAATCTAAAATTTATGATAATTTTAAAATTTCAGGAAGACGACTGTTTCCACCTGCTCCTTCGGTCCATCTCTGACAGAGAGTAAAACCAATGTCATTGGAAACGGTAAAAGAGCTGGTGTGTTTGGCTAGTTGCTCAACTGTTAACAACTTCATTTACCTTCTTTTTTTTTTCCTTTTTCTTTTCCAAGTTGATCATTTTCAAATTCATTGCATTTTACTTGCTAAGATTAATGATGAATCGTGGAATATAGCTTTCTACCTACCCATAGATTGGTTTAAACATGAAAATTTTTCTTTCTGGTGAGAAATAGCATTGCAAGGTTTCCCATATTCTCAAATCTCAATATGGAGTAAACATACAGAAAAGATTTTAGAAACATCAGACTTTAAAGCGAATTGGTTTTATTGTATAGTGGTTAGCACTCTGGACTTTGAATCAAGCGATCTGGGTTCGACTCCCTTTATGGCAAATTTCCTCATTTTGTAAATTAAAAAAAAAATTGTTATAAATTTGTTTGGCCATAAGCAAAGTGGAAATGGATGCTTATAAGCTTATAAACCCACTGGGTTGGATTCAAGAGGTAAGCAGCTTGATACCTAAGGTCTCGAGCTTGAGTCATTGAATGCAGAAAATCCTTGGAGATTCACCCACCAAAACCAGGTGTACGATGTGGATCGGTCCGAATTAGCGAAGGCAATTAATAAATTAGGAATCTCTTCATAACAGTTGCAGAAACTAGGCATGCTTTGTCTTGAAGAAGTTAGAAAGCAATTAATTATTCTGAAAATAGTGAGTTAAATTATGTTCAGATTCCAAATTACAAGAGCCACTGAGCCAATCTGATGCCTTATTGCATTGCCTGCTTTCGTTTACAAGGTATACATGTTTGCTTCTAGATTATGACTTCTTCCTGGTGAATGTGATATGATACATTGAATTTCAATGGATCACATGCACATAAGAATTGCCTATGGACTATTGGTTTTGAGTCTTTCTAGGAAATAAGATCTGTACAGAACAAACCTGAAGCGGCACTTGTCGGGGATAGCATTGCTTCTGATGGATTTGGCTCCCATGAAAGCTAAATCTGCTGTTGATGTCATCAATAGGTATCGAGAAATAAATAGGGTTCCTTCTGCAGGGCAATCTTTCTATGAATCCGATGGTTTTCTCCTTAAAGAGTGCAAAAATTCCGCATCTGAAAGATTCAGCCTGCAGATAATTAAACCAAATCGGATATGATATTGGGAGGTAATCAGTAATCACTAACACAGCAGAAAGCATTAGTCGTTCAATTGATAACAGAAAAAAAAGCTTGCTGATTACCTACTTGCAGATGTTTGGACCATGGTACGGTTTCGATTACTTCCATGGCTGCGATAAAGAGACACCTGCAGTTTATGCCTCTAAACCCTGTTTTCCATGTATGGCAGATTCAAGGACATTGTATTGCTCATTCACAGACTTATACAGAGGTTGTGTGTATGCAACCTTGGCCTGCCCAACAGCAAAGCCAACTCATACTAAAGCAATAAACAAGCACATTTAGATGCAACAGTTCTTTAGAAAGTTATCCTCTAGTGTTCTAGACATAATAATAACGAACGGAAAAAAGATCATCCCCGATAAATTACTACGAGACAGGTTTCAAAGTCTTGACTAACTTTTTACATAAATAGCTGTTACGGCAAACATCCCCTTGGAAACACTTTGCATGGCTGAATATAATTATGCACGTCTTTTTGGTATAGTCATTTCATCAACACGTAGACCGTAGTTAGTTACGATGCTAGTATGCTGCAGTCAATATTACAAATATGGTTGAACATCCTCTAACATAGGTGATCAAGGTCGTGAAAACTATAGGTGATAAAGTTAAGTCTGCACCGATCAGATATAGTATGCAACAGGTTGGGTGCATTGTTTTTGTAATTCTACAGAACTGGATTAACTTTTCAGATACCTATTGAGGTCAAGTACCAGAAAATGCATGTAAATAAGAACACAATGCAACCAACCTCCTTAGACTTTTCACAAGCAGCAGCAATTTCTGGGAAGCTTATTTCTGGTGCTACTGATAATCCAACCCCATGAAAGGTGATTATTCTTTTTTCTCCAATTTCTTTTTCTACCTTAAAAAATGCCGATGAGTCAGACGAGGGCAAATTTTATATGACAACAAACTAAAAAACAAATACACACCTGCAGCGGAGGGGGTATGATGTCATAGCACAATAGAGCCAAGGGATATATAAGCCCTGGAACACCTGAATGTTCTATGTGCCTGACACCCAAGAGTATACATATGTCCAAAGGATCAGGTCTTTTAGGGGGGTCTTATTAAGACAATTAAAAAGAATTTCATGGTTCGTTGGATAGATATAAATCCCCTAATGCATGGTTTTCTTAGAAATCTACAGACCTTGAATATATCAATACATGCTATATTCAACATTTTGTTACCTGCGGCATCACATATCAATCATATCTGTGAATAAAACCTGAAGATCTGATCTCCTCAATATATCTTGAAGGATAACATAGAGAAAACAGCGTGGTAAGTGGTAAAAAAGATCTACCAAAAACTCCCAAGAGTATAACCTCATTCCGGGAACAAACCCTGCACATAATATGTCTGCAAGCCTATAAATCTAGATTATTTTTAATTCCCCCTCCTAACAAGAAATGTCTAGCTGTTAATCGTGAGGAAGAATAAAGCTTCACACTTAGCTTTGAACTAATCAGAAATAAGATAAGCCGCAAACTAAGACATGAATATGTCTCTTCCAGCTCTCTCTCTCTGAGTCATAGTAACTTTAAGTGAAATTATGTTCTGGATTGGATGAAAGATGCTAATGAAAGCAGCTCTAATCCATTTCAAACTTTATACCTATTTATTACCAGCTGAAATCGATATAATACAAACTGGAAAAAATTGAGAAACAATACAAATAAATAGATAGATAGTTAGATAATAAAGACAGGCTGCTCAAGCTTACAGGATACCATTCTTCTGTAAGGGGATCAGGACGGTCCCTGCCACCACTTGCTGCAATCCATACTACCTTAGCAGCAAAGCCATCTCTTTCAAACTTCTTGTGTTTGCTTTTCTT